TTCTCTTTGCCTTGCGTTACCGTTAGGCAGAGCAGGTCCTTGGACCACGGCCTCCCGGGGCGGCTCCCTGAGCGGGGGAGGCCACCCCAGCTCGCTCACTAACCCGGGCAGCAGATACAGGCCCCGCGGGGATGCCGGCGCCCAGGCAGGCCACGCGCCTGCGGGGAAGGGAAGTCGGGCGCATTATGAAGTCTTTCCCCGGGGCAGTTATAAATAGTGTGATGATAGGCAAAGGAGAAGCATATATAAAAGTGAGCTGCCCCCTCTGTGGGTTACATGTGGTTAATTCACGGCAGACTGTCCACAAGGTTATAAGTAAAGTGGCCAGCACCCTGGACGGGCCTTGTTCTCGCCTTCCCAGAGCTACACTTGCCTCCTTAGGCCAAGAACCTCATTGTGACCCGTGAAGGTACAATGTTTGGGGGGGAAGAGAGTGGTATGGTCCCTGGCTCTCCGCTCCTGCCTGTAGCCAATGGCTTATAGAATCTCCTGCCTTCTGCAACCCTGTCCTACAGGTTCTCCCACGTGGAGGGTCCATGAAAAGGGGTCCGGCCTTTTCTTACTTTCCCAACATGCCTGACACCACAGACATTGGGACATGCCCCGCAGCCACGCACCGGCCCACGCGGCTCCTGGGTCCAGCAGGTGAGGCCATGCGCCCAGCTAGGCCCAGCTGCTGCTCTGCCGACAAGGCCTCCATGGCCAGCAGGGCAGGGGTCAGGGGAGCTGGAACCAGGGATCCTACTCCACCGCAGGCTACAGGCTGGGATGGATCACGGACCCCTATGAGCTGGCCCTGAGGGGCCCCCACCCCTCCTTGAAGAGTGAATGGCCGGGAGCCACGCTCCCCTGGGCATGCAGAGAAGCCAGTCCTTTTCAGGGGGCTTTCCACGCGATGGTCTGAAGATGGAGGTGTAACTGGAGATGAGAAAGACAGCCACGCATGGGAGAGACAGGACAGCCTGGTAGGACTGCCACACCAGCTCCTGTGCCATGGCCTGGGTAACCAGGCCAGGCAGGGGGAGCGGGGCAGAGCAGAGGGGCAGGAAGTTGGTGGAGCAGGCAGGGGTGGGCACAGGGTGGGGCCGAGGAAGTGAAACTCAGATAAATTGTGAGGCCAGGGGCGGAGAGCGGTTTGAGGTTGTGAAAATTGGAAACAGAGCCACCTGCTGCACCAGCATTTCCCAGCCGCCCCTGAGATGACTCATGAGGCCCCTGAGAAACAGGGTCCGCCTGGGACTGGCCAGCTGGACAGACTGAAGAGAGGTACCAGCCCAGCCAGCAGCAGGACGGCAGGGGGAGGTGCAGGAGGGCAGAGCCTGGGGAGGAAGGGGAGGGGAGGGCAGGCCGGGCCCAGCCCCAACTCTCTCCCGATCCTGTAGAGAAAACACAGCAGGCAGAGTGAGGCGACGGAGTGGGTGTGCCTCCAACCAGCTCCGGGAGAAAACACAGAATGCCAGGAGGGCCTCCCCGAGTCCTCATTGCCTCCTCCAACTGACACTAACGTGCTAGAGACACCGTCACCACGATTCCCCAACAGGCTCTCTCTCGGCCTGGCCACGTCATGGTGTTAAGCCCTCAGGTGAACTCACCCATGACCAAAAAAAACAAACAAACCCGGCCGCCTCATTCAGCTCAGGGGTCCAGAGCCACTAGCAGCCACGTCGGCCATCTTGTGAGTGTGGC